GTTATGCTGACCTCATAAAATGGGTTGGGAAGTGTTCGCTTTCTTTTTTCCTCTAGAATGTCTTTCTTCTTCTAACGTTTGGTAGAATTTTTACTGGTGGACATCTGACATCTGGAGTTTTCTTTGTTAGGAAGGTTTTTAATCATGGCTTTCTCTATTAAATATCATACAATATCTCTTACTTCTTGTGTCATTCTAGATAATTTTTACCCTAAGAATTTGTTCATTTCATCTAAATTTCCAAACTTACTAGTGTAAAGTTGTTTATACTATTCCTTTATGATCTTTTTATTTTGAAATAATATCAAACATATTTTTATAGTTTTCAGTATGTAGATCTTTCACTTGGTTTGTATATGAAATCCCTAAGTCCTTCATATTTTTTGATGCTATTATAAATTGAATTTTAAAAATGTCAGTTTCTGATCATTCATTCTTAATATAGAAAAATGGAGTTAATTTTTAAATATTGGTTTTATTTCTTTTAGCCTTGCTAAACTCACTAATTCAAGTCACTTTTGTGTAGATTCCTTGTGAGGGGGGATCCAAAGTAGATATTTTTCCAGGTCTCCATTAGCCCTACTCCTCAGATGTGGCTTTTCTGGGGCCTCTGTCAAATACCCTGGGTATTCAGCCAACTTTCTTCATGCTGATGGTTGGAATTCACACATCTTCCCACCTTGTAAGAGCTTTAGTCGTAGTTCTTTGGTTAACTATGTGGCAACTCACTGTATTATATGCAGTATGGAATTTAGCCAGTCTCAAGTGGACCCCTCTAGACATCTCTTTCTCTGTGTGTTTCTCTCAAATTCCACCTGCTGCTTCCCCAATTTCTGATTTTTATCAATGAGATTGTTACTAGTTGATGGACTGTAAAGTTTCTTGGTTCCTGTCTTCTTGAAGGAAAAAATTCAGTTGAGGGACTTGCTGGAGAATTAAAGCACCAAAGGTTTTATTTAGCAAAGGGGAAGTACACTCCAGAAACATAGCAAAAGAGATTGGTTTAAGGGAGAGGGAGCGGTCTCTGCATGGAGACTGGGTGGTCTCTGGCAGTTTTGCATTTGCTATCCTTTCTCCTCTCTTGCTCATCTTTATCTATCTCCTGAGTCTGGCAAGATCACAGTGCTCTTTTGGGATTTTCCTCCTTGTACCATGGTCCAGAAAGCATTTCTGAGTGAAGCAAATGATCCTCAGAAAGGCTTACCTGTTTCTTTCCCTTCTTTCAGAGATTACAGTCTTTGCTATCTGTTGTCTAATGTTCGAAAACAGTTCTGCACTATATATTTTTTTCAATTGAAAAGCTGCTTTTAGGGGTAGAGCTTGTCCAGGAACGGTTACTCTATCCTGGTGGAATATTGCTTTTAACCATACAGTTCAGTTAAATGCCAGCTATCGTGATGTAAGTAGAGTCAACAAATATTAAGCAAATAATAATGTGTGACATGATCTTGCATATATTACGTTATTGTGAGAATGACTTTTTAAAATTAATTTCAAATGAATACTGCCACATTGATGGTTTATTAGTTCCTAAACAAAGAATAATTACCCAAGTCCTGTGACACTTTTATCATACCCATCTTCTTTTACCAAATGTACGTCTTTTGGATAGTTATTGGATGTAATTGCTTTAGAGATTTTGTCATTTCTTTGTAAATCCTTTGGAGATAGTCTTTTTTTTTTTTTTTAAGAGAGACATTTACTTATTGAAAAAGAGTATGCACAAGTCGGGGAGGGCCAGAGGGAGAAATAAAATCTCAAGCAGATAACCTCAGGGTATAGAGCCCGACACGGGGCTTTATCTCACAACTCTGAGATCATGACCTGAGTGGAAACCAAGAGTCAGATGCTTTCCCAGCTGTGCCACCCAGGCTCACCTAGAGTCTTTATTATTATTATTATTATTATTATTATTGATTATTATTTGGATTGGACTAATACCATATTTTAGAGATAAGCCAGCATGCTTCACTACATACTCATGTAGTGAATATAATAATCATATGATAAAAAATAATCATGTTTCATTCTAAAATATTACATTCATTTTTATCTTAAAACAACTTGCTACAGGAACGCCTGGGTGGCTCAGTGTTTGAGTGTCTGCTTAGGTCGTGATCCCAGGGTCCTGGGATCGAGTCCTGCATCAGATTCCTGGAAGGGAGCCTGCTTCTCCCTCTGCCTATGTCTCTGTCTCTCATCAATCAATAGATAAAATCTTAAAAAAGAAAAAACTTGCTGCGTAGGCTTTCTGTCCAGTAATTCAAACATCAGATGAATGATTGGCCTAGGTGACTTTTAAATGCCCTTTGACCTTGAGATTCTATTATTCCTCAGCTAATTCAGCAAGAATATCTTGAGTGTCTCTGTAATTGTGTACATTATATAAGAAGAAAAGCTGCTTTTTCCTTTTAGGACGTTGGAGTTTCATTGGTGAGATAATACCTGCATATATATAGTAGGTATCAGCTAAAAAATTGTGTATGTTTAGTTGCAGAATGAACAGCACAAACCAGAAATGCCTGAGACGTTAAGTCAGAAAAAGAGACATTGGCAGAGGTAGATATTTATTTTGAAAATGTATTGCTAAGTTATGAAGTATTGCAGTATTCTCAGCAATGGCATTTCTTTAGCAGTAGTCAGGAAGGAGGTGGCATTGGCTGTCCAGATTTGGAAGTTTTGCATCACGAAAGTGCCACCAGTAATTGTTTTAACATGTTTCAACAGAATGAAAATTTTTCATGGAAAAATCCTCATCATATCTGTCATGAGCTGCATCTGTTTAAAAAGCAGTATGAAGAGAATACCCATCTGAGATCTGTCTTTATGGACCGCTAGGTGTTAGAGGAAATCTCTTGAGTTCTTGTAAGCTCTTTGAGTCTAGTAGGTTCTGGTCTTTCGTTTGTGTTTAACTTGAGCATCCAGGTCACACTGAGGTTAAGACTATCTTGCTGTGTTGATATTGAAATCTGAATACAGTATTCCATGTTATCCTTTAATTTCTATTCTGCTGTTACAATGATAATTCAAAGCACATTAGTTTTTGCTTAATATTTTTTAATAAAATCAAATGTAGCATGTATGTATTAGAATAAAAAGTTTAAATAAATTTCCTTCTAAGTGAAAAAGAAGCACTATAATTTCCACTGTGAGACCTAAAGAAGTATATATTTTTGTAATTATTGAATATGAAATATATATAGTCATATATAAATATGAAAACCCCAAATACTGAATTTCAGTGTGTCTAGTTTTAATGTGTTAAAATTTTAGAACTATGTTGTAATATTATAGTAATAATATTTTATACTTAATAATATAGTGAATCTATTGGAAAGAGTATCAAAAGCTGGAAATAAGACTAACAGACACTGAAAGCTTTATGTCTTCATTCAGATCTTCTCAAATCATTCTTTAAAAAATGCTTAGTAATCATGGTATCCTTCCACTATCTTTTCTTGCACTGGCTTTTTTGTTTTTTTTTAAGATCTTATTTATTCATGAGAGACAGGCAGAGAGAGAGAGAGGCAGAGACACAGGCAGAGGGAGAAGCAGGCTCCATGCAGCGAGCCCGACATGGGACTCGATCCCAAATTTCCGAGATCAGGCCCTGTGCTGAAAGGTGGCGCTAAACCGCTGAGCCACATGGGCCGCCCTGGCTTATTTTTTAAAGTCAGACTCCTGACAGTGTTTGTTTAAAAGAACAGAAAAATTCTAAGAGCAGTGAAGGGAGGGAAGGAGACAAATAAATACTTTACCTGGGGACAGAATTGAATGTGAATGTCAGTTTTATGCCATACCACAGAACAGTTTTGAAATCTAGCCGGTGAGTTTTTAATATGGCTAATACTTAATAGTCTTTGATAACTGCATTAAGTTGTTTACAGTATTTGATGCCTGGAGAAACTTAAGACAGTTTATGGATGCTTTTCTTTTTTTAAAGATTTTATTTTTACGTAGTCTGTACACCCAAGGTGGGACTTGACCTCACAGCCCCAAGATCAAGAGTCACATGCTCCACCAACTGAGCCAACCAGGCACCACTTTCTTTTTTAAAAAAAAATTTAAAAAAATTTTTTTTAATTAAAATTTTTAATTGATTTATTTTTATTTACTTATTCTTTTAAAGTTTTACTTAATTATTCATGAGAGACACAGAGAAAGAGGCAGAGACATAGGCAGAGGGAGAAGTAGGCCCCCTTCCAGGAGCCTGATTCAGGACTCGATCCCAGGACCCCGGGATCATGACCTGAGCCAAAGGCAGACACTCAACCACTGAGCTACCCAGGTGTCCCTAATTGATTTATTTTTTAATTAAAAAATAGTTGGCATTCAGTGTTATATTGGTTTCACGTGGATAACATATTCATTGTTTACCATCTATCATCATACAAAGTTACTACAGTATTTTTGACTATATTCTCTATGCTGTACTTTTCATTCTCATAATTTACTTATTTTACAACTAGAAGCTGTACCTCTTAATCTCACTCACCTATTTTGCCCATCACCACTTATCTGGTGAGCACTAGGTAATATATATTGTCAAATCATTATGTTGTACACCTGAAACTAATAATAACATTGTATACCAATTATACTTTAAAAAAAAGAACTTATCTGTATTTCTCTATTTTCTGATCGCCTCATTTTTGAATACTACAGTACCATTTCTGTAGCTAATGCAACATTTTTCTCAGGTCTTCTAAAGGCTATAGTAAGAACCAATTAAATGTGTATAAGATGACTGGACCAGTTTTGGAGAAAATTTGGAGAAAAAAATTGAAGCAAAAAAGAAATTTAGTCTTAATATTACAAAATATAAGACTTTCTCCCCCTTTTATCCCAGTAATGTGTATTTTATTCACCGCAATAAGGGAGAATTTGGCCTACAAATATATTTTGTTAGAAAATTCTTAAATTTTCACCTTTAATGCTGTGAAAATAGCACGTATACTTCTGATTGGTTTAGTATTATATTTTTTATTCATTTTTGACAGATAAAATAACACAAGAAGATATTGAAGGCATTCTACAGAAATTTACTGGGAATATAATGCAGGTACCTCCCCTGTAAGTTCAATTATTGAATTTGAATAAATGTTTAATTTTTATTTTTTAGTGTTTATTAACATCACTTTAATGAGAAAAAAAGAGGGCTTCATTTTATGTATAGTGAGGCATGTTTTAATCTGACAACATACGATCAAGTCAAGGTGAGCCTTATTTAGACACGTTGCGGAACTTCAGCACTCTCTGAGGTAGTGGAATGTGGTTTTCTCTGTCCCTGGATGTTGCCACAGCCTGACATCTATGCTATTCCAGTGTTTATTGGTTTTTTTGATTCTGTGTGTATACCTCAGGGCAGTTCTGGAATGCAGAAATGTCAGTTTTCCTGGAATTGCTGTGAAGGAACCAGTCCAGTCTAGTACTGGTGTCGGAGCTGTGATTTATAGTCCAGTTGGTACTTTTCTTTAGGTGTGAGGACCATTTTTTTAGGCCAGGAGTCCTATGCTTCACAATTCTCTGCAACAAATGAAACAGATGAGAGTTAGAATTTATTAAAAGTATTAGAATATTGAGTACCACTGAACCATATTTTTTGTGCACATCCCCATTTCAAGTAGCTTGCTTTTTATTTTTAAAAAATGGCTGAATTGTTATAAGATGTTAGGAGAAGTTACTGATGTTCTTTTAGAATTTAGTAATTATTTCTTAATTTTTTTTTTTTTTTTTTTTGAGAAGGCCCCACACCCAGCGTAGGGCCCAGTGTGGGGCTTGAATTCACGACCCTGAGATCAAGACCTGAGCTGAGATCAGGAGTCAGATACTTAACTCGTGAGCCACCCAGGTGTCCCTAGAATTTAGTGTTTATGTTTTACTATAAAATCTTTATTTTTTTCAAGACCACTGGAATATGTAAAGAAAAATATGTCTTCAAAGCTTTGCCTCAAATGAAAGTCAAAAAATTTTGCAGAATATGAGTAAATATTATTTTTTCGATCATTATTGTTAAAATAGCTTAAACATTTACATCTATAAGAGCAGTTTTAGAAATTTCTTCTGTTGATTATTCCAAGGATTTTGTGGTCTAATAAAATCTTATCACACAAAGCCAAGATCTGTTAAGTAGATTATTTGCTTATTTGCATTTTAGAAATATTTTGGTAACTTATGTGAAATGATTATTATTGTAATGAAAGTTGTTTCAGGGAAATATAGCTGAGACCATTGTGACCAGAGGCCTTGTGCTTTTTTTTTTTTTTTTTTTTTTGCCTTGTGCCCTTAACCCAGAACCAGGGCCAGTGAACATATGAAGAGACCATCTCCAGAGAGAAGGTTAACGTGTAAAATTGACAATATTATTCATTGGGTAGCAGATTGAGCTTTAGCTTTAAAAGTATTTAGGAACTCCATCCCTGGCACTGTTAAGGAGTTGATCAGAAGGAAAAAATAGTTTGTATTTTAGAAAGATTCAATTTAAGAGCTGCTGGTCCTCCTTTCTTTCCATCCCGTAATCTGGAGTTAATCTCTCTCATTCTTTCTTAGTCTTTTCCTGCTCCTTCATTCCTTCTCTCCCTCCCTTATCTTGCAAGCTATTCTGCATTAAAGAAAGATGGACAGAGACTTTCAACCTTGATGAAGAGAGGCGAAGTAGTAGAAGCAAAACCTGCCAGGCCTGTTACCGTATACAGTCTCTCCCTTCAAAAATTCCAGCCACCATTTTTCACATTAGGTAAGGTGGAAAACTTTGAAATCATTTGTAGTTACATGTACTTTTATTCTGCATTTGGCTACTTTTGTGTATTTTAATGGATTCCTAGTATATTGGGGATTTTTAACATTTGAATTTAAGTAAGATTAGGCTTTATTAATACCTTTTTGATAACACATTTAATGAAAATACTGATAGCTACATGGAAGTTCAGAAATGCTTTTCTAAATAGGCTGAATTTTTAATATATCATATTATAAATAAATAAAATCTTAAAAAATATATATATCATTATAAAGTTGGAGGTAAATACTTTCGGTCTCTAATGGCAAAGAGTGAGGGCTATATACTGTCAAAATTTTACATTTTGTGTTTTATTATCTTATGGATGCTTATTCCCTCATTTTGGCTAATACCTGGTAGTTTACATTTGGTTTTAAAATTTAAATTAATTTGTCCTTTTAAAATGGAGCATTTTTAGTGTTTGGATAAGAAACTCCTAAGAGTAGAGTGATTATTTCTCCCCCTTCTTTGTTACCTGCAAGTTACTGCTAAAGATCCTGACAATATGGAAATAATGGGTAAGACAGAAATGTATTCTTGGACGTGTGGTAAATTTTAATTCAGGTTATTAATTTGAATTTATCTATAAATCTATATTTGAAATAAATTTAAAAACCAAATGGTTTGTTTCTATTGTTTGGAAATTTTATGATCTCCTAGTTGCAGAAAATAGTAATTGAAATCATGATCATATATGAACTATGAAGAATCAAAAGCTGTAGCTCTTTTAGAATCTCAGGCTTCTTTAAACTGATCTGTTCTTAATTTCACAGTGCCTACTAAATAGGATTCCCTTTAGAAATAATTTCATAAAACTTTTTCCCCTAACTTCTGTTGCTTTGACATACTAACAAATGGATATAAAGTTCCTAAAGAATGTGGTTTTTGTACAGTTAAAAAACAGTCACTTTTTTCCTTTAGTGTCCTGATTCTAAAACATTTGACAAATAATGAGGAAAAACATACTAAAAATGCTTCATTTCATGAAAATGCAGCAGCTAGGTTGGTGCAGTAGATATTACCTGTGAAAGAGAAACTGGAGTTTTTCCAGTTTCCAACAATAAATTGTAAATACTTATTTTGTTCACTGGAGGTTGTAATAGGCCAAAAGAGTTGTCTTTTCACTAAAGTCAAATATAGTCCAAGAATGTTTACATTCCTGCTTTGATCCTAGTGTTCATATTTTATCTCAGCAGTGGCCCCCAACCTTGAGCTGCTGGGGAAAAAAAAAATTAAAATCCCCAGGTTGTGATTTTTGGTTAATTCCTTCAAGTGGCTTTATTTGTATGATAAGACTGTAAGCAGCAGGAGTGTTGTCCTTTTGGAAATTCAGGGTATCTTGTGGATGAATGAAAATAGTCCAGAGCCTTGCTCTTAACCAATAAACGGTAATATACTGTGTTAAGATGTTTAGATCTGCATTCAGTCTGGAACATTGTGTAATTTTAGTTATTTTGTGATTTCTTTAGGAATATTTCTAAGAGAATGTACAAATAGACTGAACTCTCCATTTACTGTATTTTCCCAAACATAATTACTGTCCCTTATGATAAGGGGTTTTTGTTTGATGTATTTTTTGAGTGTGTAAATCTGAAACTATCTTAAAAATCTACAACTCTTGATAGCAAAGCTGAGGTGTCCAACTATTTAAACCCAATTAAGTGAACAAAGTATACAAATCTGAAAATATTTTTTTAAATGTACAGCTCATAATAGCAAAGCTGAGATTTCTAACTATTTGAAACCTATTAAATGAACAAGGCTGAAGTATTAATGTTGGTGTGACTTGCCAGTTAATTTAAAATGTGTTCATGAGTTTCTGCTGTTTGCTTTCTCCACACTCTGACTTTTCAATCTCACAAACACATATGCTATTGGATGAATAATTTATGTTTTAGCGCATAAATATTTTATCACTCAATTGTTTGCATAGTGCATTTTTACATTTGTTTAGGGGCATCATTTCTATGTAAAGTGGATTTCATAGGAGGTTAGCAATTTACCATGTCACTGTTAACATTCCAGATGTTGAATGTGGAGGAGGTTTTTATATCAGAAGCTTGGTCAGTGACATTGGCAAAGGTAAGCATAAAGATGAATTATGAATTATCATTTAGAGAGCAATATTCCTTTTTGATGGGAAGAAGGAATTTTCTATTTTTCATATGTCTGAGTGCTGGCCTTAGGGAACTGTACTCTTGCTGCCTTCAGCTTCAGAAGCATTGAAGGTTTATGGCATACAATTATCAGCATCAGCAGCTGCCATGAAATGCTTAGAACAGGAGAGAAAGAGAAAAAGAGGAGCAGGAAATGATGATGGGCATAATCAGTGTAAGAACCAACTAACATTATTTCAGATATAAAATATTTTAACACACAAAAAAAGGGATAAGATAAAAAGACTCATCCTTTTCAAAGTTACTTTCATTGATATAAGTAAAAAAAGAATTTTACCTGGAAGCCACAGTCTTATAAACAGCTAGAAAGTTACAGTTCTGGCTCTGCCATTTGCTGGCAGCTGTGGCACTGGACAAATCAGATTACCTCATCTGCAGAGGAGAGTAATAGTTACCTTATGGGCTTGCTTCATGGTTAAATGAGAAAAGTATGTGCCAGTTCCTTGTAGACTTTAAAGCAGTTTACAAGGTGAGTTGCTAAATATGATTTTGCTACTTGATCATTTCTTAATCTCAAAGCTCTTGATTCTTATTTATTTTATTTATTTTATTTTATTTTATTTTATTTTATTTGTTTGCTTTGGTTCTTAGATTAGATTATTACAGTTTTACATTTGGGGTGGTTTTGAGAGGTTTAAATCAAGATCTTCTGTCATTTGAATATGATTATGACTATGAAATCCTGAATGATTTGCCCTGTGGATTTTTGTTGTTCTAGAACTCTCTTCCTGTGCCAATGTCCTAGAGCTGACCCGAACCAAACAGGGACCATTTACACTAGAAGAGCACGCTCTGCCTGAAGACAAATGGACAATTGATGACATTGCACAGTCTCTGGAACATTGCTCATCTCTTCTCCCAGCAGAATTGGCACTTAAAAAATCAAAACCTGAGGAATCTAATGAACAAGTTTTGAGCTGTGAATATATAACTCTCAGTGAGACAAAGGGAGAAGATGATGTCATTAAGACATATTAAGATTGGTTTGGGATTGTCATCATTTCTTGGTTGACATTTGAATCCTGTGTACAGAATGACAAGCTACGTGCAAAAGACAACCACTATTTTTTTTTCCGCATGATTGTGTGTGTGTGTGTGTGTGTGTGTGTGTAGAAAAACATTCATCATTTACAGTTTTTATGGTGTACAATTTATCTGCTCTACATTATAAATAGCCTTGCAGTTAGTTGTTCAGTTGTTTGCCTTACTATGGAATGTTCTTTTAGGATGTTATTATGTTGTTAGATTGGATTCAGGAAAACCAGACCTTCTGATTTTGATCTTTCTTCAAAGTCTTTTCCTGGAAAAAGTTGAACACATTTTCTAATCAGAGAAAAAAGAAACACAAGTTATATGTTTCTTTGGTGTCACGAGAGTGAGTGTAAATTACTGTTACATTGACTTAACTTTGGCTTCCTCGTGGCTCTGTTGTATTGAAGTTCGTTATGTTTGAAAAGGCCATTATTTAACTCATGTTCTGAAGTTTACAATTATTAAGAACATTTATATGATAAGACTGTACTACCCTGGTAATAGCTATGTTTGTTTAGATCTTAGAAACCAATAAACTTTTGTAATAAATATTTGTAAATAAATTATGGTTGCTACCACTACCAGAATGTAAATAGAAGACTAAATATTTAATTAAATTGACCTCTACCATGAGTGCAAAGGACAGCCTGTGGCTTATATTTTGGCAGCTCTGTGATCTTTTCCTAATGATTTCCTCAACACAGTCAACCCCTGTACCAAGTTATTAAATAGCATAATTTTTAAAAATTAAGCTAAAGAATGTATCTTCAATTTAGAATTTCTTTTCCCTATTTCTTAGTATTTGTACCTCTACAGGGCATTAATCCCCATGACACTGTGGGGTTTTTTTGGGTTTTGTTTTTAGTTTGCTGTTTCAAATTATATTTATAGATACTGAAATAGCTGCCCTGTATTTCCAGTTAATCACTTATGCTCTAAATATTTTAAAACAGTTATTCTCAAACGTTTTTATTCAAATAGCCTACTGAAAGTTCCAGGTCCCTTTTTAACATAATTCTGAAAATGTAGTCACATTACAAAATGACAAATTTCACATATAAGGAGTGCTTCATATTTTTGTTACGGGAAAGCAATATATTATGTGGCCAGTCTTCAGAAATGTCTGAATCCTGCTTCATTTATTCAGATAAGTATACTTTCTAAAAGAAGAATAGTTTAAAATTTCATAATTTAGGAGTTTCTAGGTTTTTATGGATTGCATTTCTTGTAAAAGTAGTTGTTTGCAACCTCTGACTCAAAAATTGAAATATGTAAACTAGTGTGATTTTATTTGTAGTTAATCTAATATAAATTAAGTATAAAAAGTTACATGCCTTAGTAGGTCATTTTCATCATATTGGCAGCTTACTACTTATTTATTTATTTATTTATTTATTTATTTATTTATTTATTTATTTATTTATATTTTTATATTTTTATTTTTTAAGTAGGCTCCATGACCTGCATGGAGCTTGACGTGGGGCTTGAACTCACAACCTGAGACCAAGACCTGAGCTGAAGTCGAGAGTCAGATACTTTGACTAAACCACTCAGGTGCGCCTTGACGATGTAATTTAAATGAGAATATTAAAACTAATTCTAATTATGACACACAAAACTATAAGGGAAAGACTTTGATCTCTTGATGCTGTAATATAAAATACCAAACACACAGTTATAAGTTGACAGTTTACAATTTTACTTAATCACATATCATGCCCTGCAGTTTGTATCAACCAGAGTGGCAGTGGCTGCCCCTGCCTGCTGGAGCAGCACAGCTTCTCATTTGTTACGTCTGCATGCATTGCCAATTAAGGTCCAAATAGAGGACCATTCAAGTTTTAGAGAACAACTGGGGCATCTGTGCCCTATTTCTCCACTTAAAAATTGACATATATAATTTGCCAACAGAAAATAATAGAGATTTTATCTTTTTTTATATTTACAACACTGAAGGAAATTTTGCCAAGTGGAAAAATTACCCATAATCCTTACCTTCCTGATGCAGTGACTTCAGAGCTTTAATTTAGTATTCCTGTCTTCCCATTTTTTTGTTTACCTAGTTACAGTCTTAAGGCATTTATATTTTCTAATTGACTGTTTTCATTTCATATTACCAGACTATATTTCTGTTTAGTTTTGGTAATTATTTTAATCATATTACTTCATGTTCAGTTTATTTGAGCCATTTCCCTATTGCTGAGCACTTACGTTATTTTCAGTTTTCTTATCTTAGATCAATTCCTGGGAATGGGATTATTAAGGGGAATAACAAGAACAGCTTTATGGCTCTTCATATGTTTGCCTTATTGTTTTCCCAGAGTTCTGACATTTTACAGTGGCACCCTTTCAGTATATCAGCTCATTAAAAGTTTACAGCTTTGGGTGGGGGTTTTATATGTTGTTGCTAATTTAGTAAGAATAACGGTTCAAGACTGCTCTTGCTTTTGTGTGACTTTTTCATATACTTTGTTCATTTATAGAAATAAATGTCTTAATGGTTTCTTTATACATTTGTGTGAGTTATTTATGCAGTAAATACTTGGTAGTATTTTCATGGCCTGTTGTCTTTTTTAAAATATTTTATTTATTTATTTGAGAGGAGAGACAGACATAGAGCATGAGCAGAGAGAGGCTCAGGGGGAGAGGGAGAAGCAGACTCACTGCTGAGCAGGGAGCCTGATGCAGGACTTGATCCCAGGACCCTGACTGAGATCATGACCTGAGCAGAAGGCAGATGCTTAACCGACTGAGCCACCCACGCACTCCTGGCCTGTTGTCTTTTTAATTTTCATTTCATTTTCATTTTTTGCTAACTAAATTTGCTAATTAATTTTAGTAACTGTACCTCTTTTCTAGTTGTCAGATTTATTAATATGAATGGTTAAAATTTTTTAACCTTAAAATATTCCTGTCATAAACAACTAAAACTGATACAGATGCTCTGAAAGGTTCAAGACTCCTTGATAAAACATTTTTTTGTCTTCCGAGAGTCCATTATTTAAGTACCGTTTTGGTTTTTTCATTATGTAGTTCTAGGCCAAAAGTTTAATGATGATAAAGTTCTGTTTTGATTGTAAGAAGAACTTCCTGAAAATGTTTCACTTGGAATATACCAAATCACTTAAGTTTTACACTTTGGATTTTTTATGTTTCTGAAAAAAAGTTTTTTTAAAGATTTTATTTATTTATTCATGAGAGACACAAAGAGGGAGAGGCAGAGACACAGGCAGAGGGAGAAGCAGGCTCCCTGCAAGAAACCCGATGTGGGACTCCAGGATCACACCCTGGGCTGAAGACAGGTGCTAAACCGCTGAGCCACCCAGGGATCCCCAGTTTCTGAAAAATATTTTTGTCTTAAAAGTCATCAAAGGTGATCATAGGATTGTTTTACTTATGATTTTAAAATGCATCAGCATTAATAATATAGACTTTCCCTCTACTAATTCAAAATTATAAAATTTGAATAAGGGCTAACCTCACATTTTCCTTTTTTTTTTTTTAACCTCACATACATTTTCCTATACTGACTAGATCTTTCATTCTTAAATACTTGAATTAATACAGGCTACTAATCCATCATCAGAAATAATTTATTTTGAAAAAAAAATAAAGTGTGCTTTCTATCAGTTCTTCAGTACATTTTATACTCCTGACCAGGTTGAAATTTGCATTAGACTGACAGTGGGCTCTTAGAGGTTCATTTAAATACTGAGTTGTTCTATTTCATAGGAAGAAAGTAATTTACCTTCTGTCATTATGTATATAATAGAGAAAATGTAATTCACGAAGCACTTTAAAATGTTAAAAATTTAATAGAAGTATGTAATAGATAGTTTATATATTGAAATCATTATGATGGCCTTGTAGTCAAATCTGTAGAAGACTTGTGTTGAAACTATTTCTTTACAGTATGTGTGGGCAGCCCTAGTCTGGCCTAATCGTTAAGTACCATTTGTTAAACACTTATTATGTGACATTTGAATTAGTAATGCCTTCATATTTTCAATTTGAGTTAGATTCTGTGAACAGGAATATTTCAGATTGCTGCCATAAGTAAGTGGTGATACCAGCAGGAAAGCTAAAGTCAGAAATGACTATTTTGCTTGTCTTATCCATGACTCTTAAAATATAACATATTAAGATCATTTCTGTCTCTACTGCTAATGAACTTTTTCATCCAGGCAAATCACTTCAATTTTTGGGGCCTCAGTTTTCCTATCTTTGTAACAAAGGGCGGACTAGTCTATCTCTAAGAACTTTCCCAGCCCTAAAGTAGGAAGCTTCTGAGTACAAAACAAATGTATGTTTCTTCTGTTCAGAAGCTCGTTCCTAATAACCTGAATTTTCATGTTCATCAAATTCCCATTCTTTGTCTCTTTGAATATTGCATCTCTTCCATCCAGTTGTCATATTAGATTTATATCTTACATTCTCATTTTGTTTTATGTGTCTAATTTACTCTTTCATATTTTCTATCTATCCCTCTGTGCTGTAGCTAGGGGATTTGCTTTGAATCTTTTCCAGATAATGAATTCCTTCTGCCATTTTAGTTTACTGTTTACCTATATATTCACTTTAATGAATATTGTATTTTTAGAAAATTTCTAGAATATCACCGTTTTTCCCCCCAAAATCCCTCATGTGTTTTTCTTTCATCAGATATTAGTTTACATATATATTTAAATATAGTTTAAGCATGTGGGGGTTTTTCACTTACACTGATAATATGTATACAGAAAATCGCATATACAATACATGTGTAACCAGCAACCAAATCAAGAAATAGGATATTACTAGTCCAGCAAAAGCCTCTTGAAGTTCTCTTCCAGTCATCACTGACCTTCACCCTACCACCAGGGATAACCACTTCTAGCACAGATTATTAATTTGCCTTTGTGCTTTATATAAATAGAAGTGTGTAATATATACTCTTCGATGCCTGGCCTCTTTTGCTCAAAATTACATTTGTGAGATTCTGGGATCTTGTAGCCTATGGTTGTAAGTCATTCATTCTCATTATTGTTTAGTATTCCATAGTGTAAATATACCACCCTTTATTGATTCTAGTGAATAATGGGCACTTGATGAGCTTTCAGCTTTGAGTGTTTTTTTGTTTTTGTTTTTTTTTTTTTTTAGAATTCCGTTATATTTCACTCATTCTGTCTCATTTTTGGCTTGTTCTACCTCTTTCAAAAATGTCTTAGTGTCTGTGGTAGGATTTATGATATACATCTTCAGTTTATCACAAATTACCTTCATTGTACCACCTCATATATTATGTAGAAACTTTATAATAGTATATTTCCATTTCCTACCTCCTATCTTTGTGCTTTATTCACACATTTTACTTTAACAAGTAATATTAACCTTATAATATATTGAGATTTTGTTGTTGTTTTTACTTTATCACTTTAAAGCATGGTTCAGCAAACTTTTTCTGTAAGAAACTCGATAGTAAATATTTTAGAGTTGGCAGGTATATGGTTTTTCTTGCAGCTACTCACTTTTGCCACTAACATGAAAACAGCCATAGACAGTACATATAAATGAATGGATGGGGTTGTGTTCCAGTAAAATACACTTACCCTCATGTTATAGCTTGCTAACCCCTGCTTTAAACCGACAGCTATCTTTAAGAGATTAAAAATTGTAAAAAATATATCTTTATATTTCTCTATATCCTTGTGTTCTTCTTCATTTTTCTTATGTGGATCCAAATTTCTACTATCATACTTCTTCCCCCTGAATAACTTCCTTTAATAGCGCTTTTATTTTTAAAAGATTTTATTTATTTATTGAGAGAAAGAGTGTGTGAACAGGGTGGAGGCAGAGGGAGCAGGAGCGAGAATCCCAAGCAGACTCCCCACTGAGTGTGGAGCCCAATGTGGGGCTTGATCTGAGGACCCTGAGATCCTGACCTGAGCTGAAATCAAGAGTTGGGCCACCCAGATATCCCCTAATATATCTTTTAGCACAGGTCTGACAGGAATAAATTCTCTCAGGTTTCATCTGAAAATGTTTATTTCACCTGCATTTTTTAAAGCTATTTTTGCTGGGTATATAAATTGGGTATATTCACCTTTTTTTCAATAAACACTTTAATGATGTCATTTAATCATCTTCTGACTTGTGTGTTTTCTCTGGCTGCTTACAGGGTTTTATTTTTAGTGTTTCTCAGTTTGATGTGTCAAGGTCTGGTTTTCTTTGTATCTATCCTTTAGGCCTCTAAATTTCTTGCATTTTCAGTTTATTTTCTTTCATCAGTGTTAGAAAATTCTCAGCCATTATCTTTTCAAATATTTATTTTACTCTGCTCTCTTTTTTTCTCCTGGGACTCAAATTGTTGTGATATTCAACATTTCATATTGGCACACATATTGGATGCTCTGCTCTTTTTTTAAATTTATATTTTGGTTTGGGTAATTTCTAGTGACCTCTTTTTAAGTTAATGGACTTTTTCCTCAATCCAGTGTACCAATACACCTGTTAAGAAAATTCTTCATCTCTGATACGTTTTTAATTCTAGCATTTTGATTTCATTCTTTTTTTTCAGTTTTTACCTCTCTTGAAATTCCCTATCTGTTCATGCATGCTGTCTACCTTTCCACTAGGTCCATTAACATATTAAAGTTATTTTAAAGTCTGTCTGGATAGGGAGTGGGGGTGACTGGGTGACAGACACTGAGGGGGGCACTTGATGGGATGAGCACTGGGTGTTATTCTATATGTTGGCAAATTGAACATCAATAAAAAATAAGTTTATTAAATAAATAAATAAATAAATAAATAAATAAATAAATAAATAAATAAATAAATAAATAAAGTGTCTGGTAGTTCTAACATCTGGGCCATATCTTAGTCTAGGTCTGTTGATTGTTTTGTCACATAGCCTTTTCTTACTTGTGTGTGTTTCTTATTTCTTAATTGTAGGCCAGATATTGTGCTTAAAACAGACTGAGCTACATAGTATTTACATCTATAAATGGGCACACATCTTCCATCCAGCCATTAGGGTGGGGTGTTGGGGCAGTCTAGTCAGTAGTTGAAACGCTTGGGTTTGGTGTTGATCTTACTATCAACGTAGCAGACTTGTAATTGCTGCTAGGGTAGGTTGCTTCTACTTTGTTTTGTGGACTCATGGATTGTGGGAGGATTTTCCTCAGTTTTTCTCAGCATGCTCACAAGTCTTTCAAATTTATGCCGTAGAAGGAATATGACCAAGGCTTTTCCATGTCTCCCAGCGGTAAACTGCTGTTGCTTGTTACTTGGTGGGTTCAAGGAAATATTTCTTGGTCCTCTCACTCTAGCCTGTCTTAGGCCTTGTGTTTCTGGACTTCAGGGGTGAGGTTTTTCAGCAGTTCTGCCCCTTTCCCAGTGGTAGCAGATCTCTGCTTTGTAACAGTGCAAAATCCTGACCCAAGTTCATTTCTTACCATTCCTGCAGTGGCAGGCAGCTTTTGCTTCTGCCTTTCCCACAAAGGCAATGGATCTTTGCTTGGCTTTTTCTC